ATTCAGTGTCTTGGAAAGCATGAATTAGTATTCAAAACAAATAAGAAATCGAAGGCAAAACATTTATTAACCTAAAAGAATGTAACATATACTACGAACAATCTATTAAACAAGATAGAGAATTCGAAAACGAATTTACACTCCTTTTGGACCACCAACAGGTGGGATATATCTTTAAAAATAGCACCCGTAGCTCCTTGAAACATCAACAAGTGATAGAATGGATCAGGCGGAAAGCCGATATCATAGAATTTCCTAAGGTAATACGTTACCAACGTGCTATTTTCGTATAGGAACAACTGTGTTTAAAGTAAATAGATTTAAATAAGGAAACAATTGATAGCATTTTGTTAATGTAATAAGACAAGTGTCAAGAGTCAATATTTTCCAAACACTTCTTTTTGTCGCATTTTTATTTGTAAAAATGTAGCTTTTATTCTCACTTTGGCCGGCTGGCTGTAATTAACAACTTTAGGGACGGAGCTACATGATCTGGGGTCGGCGACACCTGGGCGCCATCCCCGAGTGTGTTTTACTAACGTGGCGATTTTTTAGTTTTTTCCTATCTTTTTCTATAGTTTGGGTTCGATTGTTTTCAAAGTTGTGTTGGAAAGATCTTGTAAACGCGTCCAACTCCTCCGTGACGGAATGTTGTTTTTTTCGTATCAGGCGAAATCAACCACCTTTTGTAAGGCGCAAGGGGTAGTCGACTTCGGCCTCTCAAAACTCCAAAAGTTACCTTCCCCTGTGAATTTTGTCACGCGGTTTAAGGTTTCCTAAAGCCCAAACCGCCCTTTCTCATGTCGCCAAAAGAAGCTCGAGCTATTGGAAGTGTGGAAGTGGAAGTGCCCCACCGTGTCAATTTCTTAAGTAAGTAACAGGTGGAAATATCGCAAAAAAATCAAATAATATAAATAGATGTTCAAAATCGTTTGGAAAAAAGAGAGGGAAAAGAAGAATAGCATATGAAGCAAACCTCGTCACCCCCGCCTCTGCATAATTTAAAGAGCCGTTTTTTTAAATAATTTATGTACGACTGCTTGATAATGCGGTGATTACAGTCACAATTAGTGGCCATAATTTGCAATATTATGGCCTAGTCCATAATGATAAAGTAAAACGGCCGCCTGTCAATGTGACAGTCGTACTTAGGTGTCAATCCAAGGTAAATTCAAGTGTTCTAGAAATACTTGACAAATGCTTGACATCTGTTGTAAATGATATATAGATTTGATAGTTTATTGAATTCCATGAAATTTTACTTTTTAAGGGTTGTTGCACTCGTACATAAAGCTTTGTAAATATCGCGTTCGTAAATAGGCTTTATGGAGACTCGCCTTGTTAATTTGTGCCTCGCTCGCAAGCTCGCTCGGCTATATAAACGGCTCGTCCATAAAGACCCAGTTTATGTACTTGATATATTAAATAGCCTACATAATATCCTTCACTGCCATAACAGAAGTGCACATCGAAGAAACTGTATTAAACTCGGTATTAAATTACATTTGTTACGATGTAATTCTTCAAATTATGTTTAACTTTAGTTTTTACAAATTGCATGTACCAAAGATGCCACTTTCTTGGATAAAACGACAGAATGAAACATCGAATATAATGTAAATTGAACACCTGAAATTAATACTTATTAAACCTTCTTGTATATCATTAATTCCATAAAGTAGGATCAGGTGAGGTTAACGTAGCTCAAAGGCACTTTTACCCAGCTATAGTTCATATTTTGAGGTGAACCGAGCTTCATATCAAATCAAATAAAAGCAAAATAAGTACCAAACCATTTCTTTCAAGGGTTTTCGTTCGTACGTATAGTGAAACTTGACCTACACGGTACACCTACATACGTCCAAACTTTTAGCGTATACCATAATTCCTAAATCATTTTTCAGTTTCATTTACTCACACGCGCTGGTTTATACTGTATACATATAGTAAAGAATCTTTAGTCGTAAACAGGAAGGCATCGTAATTAATGGTATTCACTGAGAAATGTTAATAATATATTTACTACCTACGAACAGTAACAGCAACCTGCCTAATAGGAAATTCCAATGCTCTTTACATTTTACTATTGACTCAAATATTTAACATATTTGCCACTAATTTCACAGTGTTGTGCGAACTTTTACGAGTATAGTAAATTTAGCACAATTTTAGAAACGAAAGTATTGTCGGTTGTGCGAGAAAACCCCCTATTCAGTAAAAAGTTTATACAATCGATAGCAGGAGAGTATTATGTACTATTTTCCTAAGCAAATTTGGTAACCCGTTTTTTTAGCGCATTTTCCAACGAAGTTGGTTGCGCTATTGCAGCCACTTTCTCTGTCCGTCCATCTGTCCGGCTGTGCGTCTGTCCGAGGCCTTAACTACTCCTACAGTTTTAAAGATATTTAATTCGTTCTTTTTGCATTCGGTAGCGTATCGCTCTGGCACCTGAGTCAAGGAAAATCTTGACGATTGAACTGCGCATGCGCAGGCTGCGCAATGTTAACTTTTTTATTTATTAATATATTTTGTTGAAATTTTAATCACAGATACTTGTAGTAAAGGCAAATATATCGCATATAGTAAAAATCAGATGTGCACATGCGCAGAATGCGCAATGCCAACTTTCTTATTTATGGAGATATTTCTTTGAAATTTTAACCAAAGATGCTTATAGTAAAAGCAAACGTATTGCATATTGTAAATATCAAATTAATAAGCGCATGCGCAGGACGCGCAATATCAACTGCGCAGTAAGTGTCAACTTCCTTATTTATGAAGATATTTCTTTAAAATTTTAACCTCTACTAATGAAAAACATAGCGCACATAGGTATGGCCATTGTTTAAAAAAGTATTTAAACAATGGTATGGCCTTTGGGGAAATATTGATCAATTTATGGAAAATGCACTGAAGTTACTCGCCTTAGGGCGTAAACCTTTTTACTTGTTATGTTTCTTATACTCTCAATAATCGTTGACACATTAAGGCCGTCACTTACCCGCGGCGTGGTGCAGCGAAGCGCCTTTTTCGCTCACATTGATTTAAATCGGCAAACACTCACTTCAGCGAAACTCGGCATGGCGTATAGGCGTATTGAAATCAATGCCAGCGAAAGAGGCGCTTCGCCGTGCCGCGCGCTTCCGCGCCTAAGTGCGCGACGGCCTTTAAGATAACCTTTGGTTAAATTTGTTGGGTATTCGTGTAAAAATGGGAAATTTAAGTCACCGCAAGTACGTATTTATATACAAACTGAATGACGGCTTGACGGGTATGACCATTGAATTTATAGTATGACCTGTATAATCGCCTTAGGTTTTCAAATAAACTTATCTCATAGATAACCTTCTTCTATGAAAATAATACATTTGTTTCTATAGAAATTAACTGTCAGATAGACTTAACGGCAACAAGAAAAACCAACCCTTAGGAAGAATACTTTCTGGTACATAATGACTAGGTATAGTGATAGTTTATAGTACGCCAGCACGTATAAAATGCAAAATGTCCATATCTTTATGTGTTGAATTGAACACTATGCTTCAACGATATGTTTTTGGTATTATTTTAGGAAATAAACAAACGACCGCAATTGAGAATTAAGTTAGTATAGCAAATTAGCAATTATTCAGAGGTCACGATTTGTTGTGATTTATAAACTATAAACCTCACGCAAAATTGGCTGTTACACTTGAACAACAAAAACTTGAAAAAACTGCCTTAAATATCAACCATAACTTTACATCATGGGTTTTAGCTAGGTACCAGCATTAACTAAAACCAACACTTCTAGATATTGTCTAAAAGTTTGAAAGTTGCAATTTATTTGTTGCTAAATACATCAAATGTCGTCTCTAGGAAAGCTTTTATCCGTTCTCACATGAACGCAGATAAACAACGGCCTAATGAATATGCTGTCAGTGATGGAGTTCGTAAATGCATTAGAGCGATTGAGCTGCCATTAATATTTAATTAAATCTTACTTGTGGTTGTGGATATTAAACACTACATTAACATAATGTCATTTAAGTTGTAATTTAAATACGCTGAAACCGCATTAAAGAAAACTATTCATTAAAATGCGTAAAAACGTAAAATTAATTAGAAATCATTAGTACCTATACGAGTTTTTAGCTTGCAAGGAAATCTTTCAACTATACTTTTTCATAAGTTATATGCTTAATAATACATATATTTATTGAAAAAAAAATCAGATGTTTACTCGATTCTGCAATTCCTATTGAAAACTTTGTTTGATCATTACCAAATTATCACATATGCCAATCAGTCAGTGATTATTATATTATAAATGCAGAAACAGGAAACCTAATACGTAGGACTTATCTACCTAATAAAAAGTTTAGTATATTCCACATGCCCATATACCATAGCTAGAAAAGTTACTTTGTTGCAATAATAAAGTATGGCTTTATTCAAAAACCCGTTTCATACATTTATTTAATAAATTGTCAATTGCCATTTAAATGAAATGCTAAATTGCGACAAACAACATAATTAATTAGCAGCAAATAGAATTTTCAAAGCAAGAAGTAATGGCAAAAAAAAACAAATCAATTGTAATACCTTTTAATGTATTCTTTTAGAGTGGTCCCAGAGGCAAACTTAATATACATGTTCCGGTACGTCCGTGTTATCAACACCTTTTTAAAGAATATAATAACTTAATTATGCCATTACTCAATAGCTTCTTATGGAAGGCACATATACATAATTACAGGTAATAAAATTTATATGTAAATGACATCCTTATTTAGTAATTAACAATTTATTGCTGAGCGACACATACTTCTACTGTTTAATTACGGGTGCTTAATGATAAGTGTAATTAAACCTTGTAATAGGATTTATAGGGTACCCGCCCTTTTCTTACACATTTCGCACTTGCTGATTATAAAGTGCAACTCCAGATAAAAGGCAATGTGATTGTAATTCCTTGTACACATTGTTTTACTCCTTTATGTGCCGTTATAAACCTCAAGTTGCCACTATACTCATCCTGATGAAATTCTCAAACTTGGATGAAATTAAAATGAATGCTCGGTTCGTAGGTTTTTGTTAGCACCCTGTTGTTATTAGTAGAATTCTCTCAATTTTTTTTTGTTAAGTACGACTTCGACTGCTAAGGTCTTTTCGTCTACTTCTAATCACTTGTAAGGTCTTATTACTGCCGCATTATATTTTGTTGTACATATTAATCAATTTTAGCACAGATTTAGTATATTTAAATCTGTGATTTTAGGTAGTCAAGAGTACTTCTAATCCGGTCATCGCTTTTAAGATTATCAGGTAAGTTTCTCATTAATTTCTTTTCAGCTCTTTGGTGGTTATGTGCTGCACAGTCGCAAATTATGTGCGTTACGGTCAGAATTGTTTTTATTTCCGTAGCTTTCGCACACTTTGTCTTTCTTTTATAAAAGCTTCCATCTTTGCTCAAAAATATCAAGAAAATAAACGGTAATTTAACTGTAAAATTAATTTTAAAAAATTCACTATATAACTTGTAGCATGGCCTGAAGATGACAATGATAATAATCGTCGAAATCGATCGCCAATAGAAAACTTACTCACGACTTATTGTTGTTTTATATCTACCATCTACTACCATCAAATCCCAACAATATAAAATGGAGCAATTTATCTCTAAAATGAAATGTATGTAATTTGTTTTTTATCTTTGTTATTGAATAGGGTTAGGAGTGTTTGATTAGGGTGTTTGATTTTTGTTAGGAGTTTTTAAAAATGTTTGACTTTGTAGATATTTTGGATTTTTTTCTCGGAAAGCCACCGTTTGTTTTATTGTTGCTTTTCAAATCTCATCAAGTTTTCTTCGATTTAAAAAACAGAAGGGGGTACTGTAACGGTAAAGACCAGTTTGTATTTAAAATTTTTTCATCTTACCCCTAGAAACTTTGAAGACTTGGAAGTAAAATTGTGTAATCTGTATGAAAACAACAAGGTTGTAAAGTAGTTTCCCAATCAAATTTTTGTCATGATATAAAGAATTCAGCTGGATGATTGGAGTCAATAGAATGTGTGTGTGTGGCTTATTTTTTTGCCATTTTTCCTAGCATTTGTTTTATCAGATCATTTATGAAATGCCCAGATGAAGGCCTTATTATTATTTGGTATTAGTAGTTATGCCCCGAAGTTACAAAGAAAAAGTTGACAGTCGACACTACAAAAACTATACGGAAGAGAAATTAATGGAAGGTCTTGGTAGTATCAGAACCTCGAGCCTCGGAAAAGTATGGTATCCCCATCGAAATACTTTATGGTTTAAAATAAAAGAAGGGCAACAACAATAAGTATTTAGCGACCAGAAATAGAACACTTTTGCAGCTCACGTGATTACCCTATCTTTTCAAAGAATTGTCCATTCCAGGGCTGCAACTGATGACAAAATCACCAATCACCAAAATCATTTAAACATTGCAAGATATTGCTGCATCAAATAACTAGACCCACTTTCCATTAACTACAAATCAATATCATCATCACTATATCATCATTAAAAATATCTCAGACACGAGTGAAAGTGACGCGAACCCGAGTATGAAGAAAGTGACGAAATATATCTATCTATGGAGAAAACTCGCGATAATGAACAAGTTTTTGGGGGGGTTTGTTGTAAATTTTGGAGGAAAGTATTTTCCAAACATTAGCAAACACAAGCAACAGTGAATCCCATGGGACCCGTTGGCATAATGACGCGTAGAATATAAGTGGTCTATGGAAAGAAACGAAATCATTTAAATATACATACATGTGGAGGAGTGGGTATTGTGTAGAAACTGGCATAATTAGAGGAGATCTGGCTGGCATTAATAATAATTAATTCCCATTTTAATACAAAAATATCCGTTAAATTAGCGTTCAGTAGCCATTAAATATCGGTTTTATGTGGGATTAGCTCTGAAGACTTAATCTTCTAAGCCCTAAAGTTCTTACATGGAAAACGCATAGATGCTCATCTTATCTCAATATTCACGTGGGAGAACTTTCCCACCAATGTAATAATCTAATCGTGTCTTTTTCTTATAAATTTGCACTCAGAAAGGAACTATTGAATACTAATACCACTCATTTGTATGTCGTTGCACTAAAATTCAGTTATTATTCAGAAATTATTGATCATTTAAATGATTTCAGTTGTTATCCGATAAAAATATACACACAAGGTTTTTATTTAATATGCAACAGGGATTATCGCATTTATGTAACATTATTTTCACGTACTTGATGCTGAGAAACCAATTTGCTTAATAATATGCGAAGTCGATAAGGTATACTTTGCATAATAAATGAACAGGAAGAAAATACGAGACAATCACTTATGCACAGACGGATTTTATTTAACAATTCATGTTCATATTTGTGAAGGATATAAGAAATATATCATGCAAATCCCTTTTAATCCCTGCATGACCTGTTCGTCATTAATCAGTAATGAGAAGCTGTTTATTTCCTGCATTAGGCTATTTCTTATTACGTATTACTTTGTACTCAAAAATTAGTCCAAAAAACTCTTCAGAACAGCTAACTGTGCTACATTGCCATTTTCCACCTTTCTTTATTAAGAATTATGAATGGTTAAAGATTTCTGGTTTTATAATTAATGGTAAACCCTGTTTGTGGGAAAATTTAGATCGCATTGCATTTACGCGACACGATGATATCGATATCTATACAATTGCAACGGTTTCATTGCGAAGCAAGCAATAAAAGTTTTAATGTTTCATATTAATCCTCTTAGAAAACAGCTTAATGGATTCGTCATAAATCAGAAAATGCAACAAATTCCTGAATGCTCATTTGTTTACTTACAGTAGAAAAGCGCATGCTTCGCATAAGCCAACTATAAAATGCCATCGATTTATGTGTAATTAGTTACGTATGTAAATATGGTGAATGGAGGAAGGCGGGTTATAATAAACTTTCTAGGACAAATAGAAGTAATTTGTTGTCCAGCACCACGTAAAGCCAACTACATTTGTTCCACTATAAAACGAGCGTCTGTTTACTGTTAGATACTAATCAGAAGAACCAATCCAATGTTACGCGTTACATGCATCGCTTATGTAGGTACCTATGCCATCTCATACTAGCCCACTCACAAATTAAACTGATTATTTATAGTCGCATATGGTAAGTGTTGGGTGGACATCTTTCTGATAGTAGTAATGCTATTACTTCAAATTTTATGAGTTATTAATGCAAATACTACGTTTAAATTGTAGTAAACTCAATCGAGGACTTCTAATCGGAAGTATCAGATAACATTGGTCCAAATTGGGACAGATTTAGAATTTTGGTATAAAACCCCCGTCCTCGTCCCCGTAGCAGTTTTATTTTCTCAAGTATATTACTATTGGTCGAGTATCACTGTAATTTTTTCTTGAAAACCACCACTATCACATCTGGTTCAGTTTAGACCTCCAATTGGTGCATCATATTTAATGCGCAGACTTTACGCAATTCGTTTTCTTTCTCTTGATACTTCACTTAAAAATTGATAATTCAATGTCGGTTAAATTGCACAATTTTTTAAGTATTATTTCTGGCGATTAATCGAATTTGGTGTGATCTCGAATTGGTTTGGATAGAGATACACTTTTTTGACATGCTGGAGGTTATAATTTGAATTTAAAGTGGGTGCATACGTAAGCACGGCCATCTTTTTAATCACTTTGTTGTCTCTTGTTCTTTTTAGAATTTTACCATTTGAATTTTGAACCGATTTAAGTTTCAATCGTCTTATTAATTGGAGGTAGGTTAAATTTTTATGTTCGAAGGGATTTGACGTGTGGTTGCCTTGCAGGGTTTTTAACTTCAGTTAAATGCAGCCGCATGTACAAGCACAACTCCTTATAACACTCCAGATAACACACAGCGCTCGCAGATAACGAAACTGGGTAAAGGCGATTCAATTGATCAAGTTTAAAATTAGTGAATAATTCCCCTTTAAGGGATGATACTAAAAAAGAGTCTTGTTATATCTCGACACCTTTTTATAAATAATAATTAATAAGTTATAAGTGTTGGCAGAAGAAATAGCAGGATGCTGATTTTTGAAACAAACTTGACCCATTGATGAGAATTTATTTTGACACAATTTATTGACGGATTCCGATCAAATTTAAATTGATCTTATAGATCCACTTTAATAGAAGTATTAAATAATTGAGTGTTTAATTTATATTACAGTCTATAGAATTATCCTGGCTTTTTGTTAAGTTCATACATTTTAGTTGCTATTTAAAAGTATGCCAACGAAATTCATAGCGCTGAGTTACTCAGGCATTTTCAAATTAATAATCATAATTTTTGACCAAAGTATAAAATCTGCATTAGGTAGGTGCATTGTAGGTATATATGTACACCTTATATACAATGGTAGGTGATTACAACAAAATCACAGCCCTTTGCATCACTATACCAGGATACACGAAAAAAAGATTTTAACATCACAAAGAGTAAAGATTTTTTCATCAATATTAACATAGGTCAACAGTGTTTTCTGAATTATTTTACTTGCATTGAAACCAGAATGAGGAACTATCACATCCTTTGCAGTGAATGCAGTACATCTACTCCTTGCAGAGCTATAGTTATTGAGGTGTGCCGATTGCACTGGTATAGGTATATAAAAATCTTTCAGTAATAAATAAGAACGCGTATATCACTTTGAGTATCGACATTAATAAGCCATAATCCTCGAGTAAATACAAGAAGTTTATCTGCCAAACATTAGAAATAATTGCTACCCGGAGCTAAATTTATTTAATAGCGTTTTGTTCTTCACCACACGAACACGTAGGTACGTGTTTATTTTCAGATACCATAACTTCATTTTGTCCCCATTAATTACAGATTACATTATGTACGCATCCAACAATTAATTTGCACCACTTTCTAAAAAAAGAAATACATAAAATGCTACAAGAATTCAAGCTAACCAAAAATATGAGTGTTCCTTGCGGTAGAACATTTCTTAACTACGTGTATGTTTTATGAGAACAGACATGGAAAGTAAACATTGGTGGTCTAATCTTAAGGCTTGGCTGCTAAACAGCAGTTAATTTGCGTGAGAAACCACGAAGGGGTCTGTTTTTAAACTAAAATAATGCGGACGTCTCAAAACTTCAGAAGCCGGCACGCCTTTTTCACACATCGAAAATACCCTTACGAGTGGTCTCGCATACACGGATCAGGTAATAAAATTGCATTACAAACAACTTTTATCGACTTTTCCAAGTTATGTCTATGTCTAATCGATATTTTAAGCTACGCTTGAAGAGGAATTTGCGAAAATCCTATGTCCGCACTATAAATATTGAAATGCGACTTGATCTGCTAATAAATAAGATTCATGGTGGCGTTTCTAAATTGAATAATTGCAATAAAAGCCTACACTATTTAGTATTTACGATGATAACTTTATTCCTGGCCTCCAGTAATTTATTGGCTTCAAAATAATTAGATTGGAAGAGGGAAAATCACGATTTATGCAATAGACCATTTGATCCTTCTTTATTAGCTTTCCTACCAGTATTTATGATGAACTACCTGTATTTGTTTAAAAGCTTTGCAGGTAAACAAAAATGATGTACCTACATAAATTACGTGATTAATCTACTGCAAACAGCTTATAATCGAGGAAACTAACGGTCATGCAACTTACTAAATAAAAGTCTTAAGATGTAGAAAACTGACATTTTGAAGACACCAGTTATCCGATAAACCACTGATTAATTAGTTGTGTAAAGATTTTGATGTATTTACATAATTGTAATTTATAGACCCCCTATACGCGCTTAGAAATTCTCAATTTTTCCATGCATTTACTACAGTGCTGACAATCAATTATTTAGAAGAGAGGGTAAATACTCCTCTTACTTCAATTTCGTGAGGTTATGTTAACATTTTTCGACGATGTTTTGTACAATTGTACTTATTTAAATATTAGAAAATGCTGATGAAACACCATGCATGTGTGTGTAATTATACCATAATATAGCAGTAAGTAGTTCTACATGTTTTACATAATTCATGTGTAAATTATTTACAGATAGGCAGCATTTTATCCATGCTTCATAATTAAAATATTTACCAATTTAAATTAAGACATTTCCCAAAAAGGCGTGGTAGAAAAAATATTTTTTCTTAAATAGACGTCTAGATATGTTTATGTTTTATGTCCTATACCTACCCTCTACTGTTTTATTATAATATAATAATATTTTCGACTAAAAATACAGTGGTTGTCAAAATTTGTCACTGTAATAATAATAATATAATAATAAACCATGTACGGCACCACAGCGCCATACCCCAACTAGCCAAAGGTAACCCCTTTCATTCCCACGGAGAGTGACTGGGCGGGTGCCAGTCGGATGGTGAATGTGCCGAGGGTGACCTCAACAGCATACAAATCTCCAGGTTTGGACGGCATAATACCAGCCCTCCTGCAATGGGGACTGGATATTATTGTCATCTACCTAGAGGGAATATTGCGGACTCTATCGCTTTCAGATACATACCTAAACAAAAAAGGGAGATAAAAATTATCTTTATCCCCAAACCTGGCAATGGTGACTCTACACCTAAAGCATATCGCCCAATCAGTTTGATGACTTTTCTTCTTAAGACAGTTGAAATACTGTGCAATAGATACATAAGGGATACGGTGATAACACGGTTTCCGCTGCACCCTAATCAACACGCATACTCCCCAGGAAGATCTACAGAGTCAGCCCTGCATTGCGTCATAGGGCGGATTGAGAGATCGCTGGACTATAAACAGTCCACACTGAGAACAGAAGATATTCTCGAAAAGCGCGTTTTTATGATAATTTATGAATAGGTTTATGTTGCAATAAAGTGCTTAATATTTAAACGTAAATACTCCGTGAACATGTTGAAGATAGATATAGGACATTTATATGAAACATTGTCTAGCATTTTCAGGAGAATCTGGAAATGCAATAATATACGGGTATATTTTTTCTGTCACATTTTTTGGGACACACTGTATACCTACATTTTGTGTCAAAATATGCGCAATCCAAAAACAAAATCGACTGGTCCGAGCGTATTTCCGACCACGCTGCCATTTCATTTTTATTGAACTTACCCGTTTTAAATTACCCTGTATACTATGGACCTTATATCAAATATGCCATACGAATAAATCTATGAAACTGCTATTCTTTTTTATTGTTTTACTTTGCCCGTTTGTGGTAACTACAGAAAGCCCCTAAGGTATTTACCTTAAGTACCCAAGTTTTGTTTAAACTACAGAAAGCCCCTAAGGTATTTACCTTAAGTACCCATATACAAATTAGGTTAAGTTTTGTTTAAATGTAGCAAAATGAATGACGCAGAGAATTTATTTGCAATCAAGCGAATCATAAATTGTTAGTACCAATGTTGCTGCCTATAAATTCTGATATTATGACGGATTTCGAATTAAGTGATTACGTTAAGGCAATAAAAACGGTAAATTATAAACATAACGATGTTATTGTAAAAATTATAACCTATTTAGTTTCACTTGATTAACTGTAACCGCGCAAAACAGCCTAATTGCTAGTTTTATTGTGTTATAGCAAATTACACTTACCTAAAGTAAATGGCGTGTAGTCAGGAACTCCTGAAATAAGGAAAAGATTAGTGCATAGGTTAGTTCAAGTTTGATTCGTACTTTTGATGATGATAATTTCTAATTGTCAGCAAAAATGCTCACAGCATAGATAGATAATTCACATCTCCTAGAGCTATAGATCGTGAACATATTTTGGAAAGTACTTATTCATTTTGTGATTTACACACATAGTAGATTTGCAATTCCAGACTCTAATGGTTAATATGACTGCAGCAGTAAGTAAAGTTAACAATCATACCTCGTATTAAGATTTTAATAAAAGGTGGGACGTTATAAAGCCAGTTAGTCGCTCAGTCGGTTAATATTTCTGACTTGTAACCCCTTTTTTCGGTTTGGTTAAGTCGCGAACGCGACTTCCCATGGATCTGAATTGAAACTCGCATTCTGAAGTTGCAGACACTGCAACCAAAATTTCAGATCAAACAAATCAGTAAAAATCATCTGAAGATGTAAAGAGGTGGAGCGATAGGCGGCCAGAGTCGGATAATTTTTGCCTCGATTTTTGCTGTATATTTAATATCATAACGTATCTATTGCAGAAACTTCAGATCATTAACACGCATAGACAGCGTCGCCCAGAAAGCCGCGCCGCGCCCGGATGAGCGAGTCCAATGGGAAGGTTGTGACATAGGTACAGGTCTGATTACCATAGGAAACTTCATCAACATTTCAAAAGCATTCCTCAGTAAAAAGCAACCGAAGATATAAACAAATTGAATAATATGTCACGTAAATTTAATTACGTTTTTTATTTATCTACAATTAACTAACAAATTTATAGATATATAGATTAATTTATAACAGTAATTATTATTTATTACTAATACTCGCATTGATGTTAGAACTAACTGAAAGTCTGAAACACAATTTGATTTGCTTATATATTAGCAAACGCCCCTCTTTCTTGAAAGGTCTTGAACGCTCCCGAGTATTCTAGAATGTTCTCGAACAATCATATTTCCCGGAAAGAAGTCGCTTTCTTTTCTTATCGCCGATGACTAATATTTTATGGCGGAGCGATATCTATCGCGATTTCTAAAATATTCCCCTCTCAGCACTAGGTACTGGTAACTAATATTAGGTGGTTAAGATGGAGGAAGTCCTAGTCCAGTCGCCATGAAAGGTGGTAAGCCAAGATTAAAGACCGTTATTTGATAAATTTAATATATTTCGGTTGACGTTGCAACCTTCATCAGAAACTAAAACGGTTTTTATGTGATTATTCGATACTATGGATTGTAAGTTCTTTTTATCCATAGTATCGAATACTCACATTAACACTTTTAGTTTCTGATGAAGGTTGCAATTGCAACGTCAACTGAAATATATTAAATTTATCAAATAACGGTCTTTGATCTTGGCTTACCACCTTTTAAGGTGACTGGACTAGGACTTCCCCATCTTAACCACCTAATATTAGAATATTCCCTACACATAAATCAAATATATGGCCATAAGCTCATTTAAAGCCTTAGAGAGAAAAAAGTAATAAAGCTCTAGTCATACTCGTAGCACGTTGCATAGATTAGTTAGTAGTTCCCGTTTTTATCTTACTACAAAGCTAAGCGCACAACGCAATTTTCTTTACCGAACCTACCAGATTTCCAACCTGCATCAGTTTGTACAAAACTTGCATTTTCCTAAAAAGGAGTTAGCAGCTTTTGAATAATTTTCCGAAGGGAAGATTTATATATAGGAATAAAACTTCTTGCCCAGCCAATAGTTAACTTGAATTTATTTTGAAGGTGAAGGAATGTGTTTCACTTATTCATTTCGGGTGGCTCATTTACTGCTTAGTATCTCTTCCTTGAAAAATATAGCCCCAGCTTTTATAGTAGTAACTCTATGCAAGTATTTAAAAATCCTATCCTTAAAAATTAAAAAAATCAATCAGTCCTGTGATGTATCACTAACGGTTAACTTAATGTGCAGGTTATCTGACAAAAACGTCGTTTTGCCTATACTTAATGAAAAATAACATTGTTTGGCAGATAACCTGCACGTTACGTTTATTTATTGATTTGTTTGCGTATATCTCCAGTGGAAACAACAAAGAGTTGTGGTGAAACGAAGCAGCTTATGGGATCTACCACCCTTAATGAACGCGCGGTATCTGAATGGACTCAATCGTAACACTGTTTTCATGCCGACAGCAAAAAAAAACAACAATGTCGCAGTTTTGTAACCGTTCCCGGGGGATATTTAAATTATTGTTGCAGCATCTGAAAGCTTTCGTCATTTGGAAGGCGAAATAAAATTAATATATTGTGATCTTCCGTTTATTAATGATGATCTGATTTTAGTTTCGCAATGCTAATTTAAAACAAAAATTACACCGAGCAAGGTCGTACAGCATACGTAGATAAGAAACCTTTCGATAGACCCGAAAATTGCAATTAACATTAGGCCTTACCTTGGGTTACCGGATTTCCGAATTTAGAAATTTTAATCCGGCCAATTAAGTAAGTAGAATCACCGGTAGCCAATCAGATGGGTTGTAGCAAACGGCATCGGATTAGGCTGTGTTTAGTGTCATTGGAAGCACTCTAATTTATCAAGATGTTTAGCCGTTTTCTGGAATTGCATCACGTCAGGGAGCCTGGCAATTAATTAAAGAAATTTGAGCGCTCCGATACTAGTTAGTTGAACAATAAGGATTTTCCAGGCTTCCCTTTTCGCATTTGGGCAATTTTATAAAAGGTACGAACGTGATTTAGAGGGGATCTTTTTTCCGTTAATTATAGTATTGTTTTCCGTAGAAACCGCTTCCCAATCCGATTATTTACTGATACCGTTTAGGGAAATTGCTGTTCGCATTCACCAGTCGTCGCACACCGCTTGCCCTTTAGAATTTCTGGGACCGCCGTTCTTCGTTTGAGTTATTAAGCGGCAGAGCGAACTGCCAAACGCTTTGACAGTTTCGGTTCAAGCTTTACACAGTTGGCATATTGTATGCCACATGTAACAAGTCTATGGAAAATAGGTTAAATCCAATGACCCCCTAAGGGTCAAACCGACGTGCTCTGCCGCTTGTTTAGATCCTCTTTAGGGGTTTATTTGGAAATTACCTTCGCTCGCCGCATCTTGTCAAGCAAGAGAGACTGATCCCCCCGCCATCCCCGTCTACAGATTTTTTTCCTTTTTCTGAACTTAATTAAATTTCATTTTTTTTAAATTATACCGTTTATTTTTTTTGCAAAGGAGATCAGAAACTACCATTGGTGCGCGAGCTTTCGGCGGACGTTCGTCATGCGGACCTCAGTTTATTTAAGATACGGACATACCGGGTGGTGCCTAGCGCGACGCAGCATAGGGATTTCAATGGTAATTTCTTTATAGTCAATTACTAGCTCCCCTAATTATTTTAGAGCAAAAGTATAAATAAGTTTTTTTTAGAGAAAAAAATACTGCATCTGTTCATGCTATTACTTATAATTTTCCGTTTTTCAAAACCGTAGAAATCGACAAAATAAAAAGGTTCATTTTACAATAAATCAAATATGCCTTGGAATTACCTAAAAAAACAGCGATCACGTTTCATTATTTGCCTTTGACGTATATTAAATTTATACTTGTTTATAAATTAGTTAAAGAACTGCAAGTGCAATAACGTTCAAAATGTCCGTCAAAACCATCAGGAAAACGACAATACATTCAACGTTTTGGCTGCAGTAGCGGAAAATCCGAATATAAGTTTAGGAACAAATCTTCTTCAAATCAGTTTTTTTTCTTCGATTATGTAGGTACTCTGATTCCGGAAAATGCAGCATACATTCTCTAAAAAAACATTACCCTAAGATGCCTTTTATTGCCTCGGTTCGTTGAAACAGAATTAAATATGAAAATCGTTCGACATCAAACAACGATAACTTAAATGCGATGCGCTAGTAGTTTGTTAAAAGATTTCAAAGCATCACTGATTTATAAAAATGTAATTTTTTATTTTATCGATTTCTACGGTTTTGAAAAATGGAAAATTATAACTAAAAGTATGAACAGATGCAGTATTTTTTTCTCTAAAAAAAACTTATTTATACTTTTGCTCTAAAATAATTAGGGGAGCTAGTAATTGACTATAAAGAAATTACCATTGAAATCCCTATGCTGCGTTGCGCTAGGCACCACCCTGTATAGTGTAACCGCATTTTGCCATTCATTGTTATTACTTTTTCTATTTGTATCGCGTAGTATTATTATTATTACACACTCGGTACCAGTTTTGAGGTAACCAAAGCAAGGTTTTGTTATTGGATGCAGGAAACTTTTAAGTTTGATCAAGGGATTTCCCCAGCGAAAAATAATTGACGTCAAAAGTTACAAACTGGAAGAGTAATTCTGTACCCGTTACCGGTATCTTACCTTCATTAACACTGAGAGTTTCATACCATTTAGAATCATGTACAGTTACCCTAAAATGGCTTTCAGTTACTTCAGTTATTATGCAACATTTTCTTTTCAAAAGGCTAGCAGGGCAAGAGACAAAAAACGACCAAAAATTGCCCCGTGAACTCCACCCACCCCTAGGCTCAACACTGATCGATATTGTACCAGTTCTAAAATAAACGTTCTTAGTTTTTGACGACTCTTTTGCTCAGTATATTTTACTTGTTGAAAGATTACAGGATTAAAACATTCCCGATTAACGCGGCTGTTTATTTATAAATTTAGGAATGTCTAAATAAACAGTTGTAAATAGCTATTAAGGGTAGGGAAATGAAATGAATGTTCTTTTCCTCTCTGATCAAATGTAGCCCTTGTTCAACACAATTTGACAACTTAATATTTATTATTACGCAACGCACGTGCCTTTATTATGTAATTTCTTTCTTTCCAATTTCTAGTCGATACTCGATTGTCAGGGCCTTCCTCTATATAACATAGTGATATAGGATCAATGTTATAAATCACAGGCGTTGCTTAATATCCATAACCGTGACTAACAACGTTAGGCAATTACAGTTTTTCAGTTTTGAGTGCATTCCGACAACAACATAAAAATTGCAAGTGAACCGCAATTGGACCATAAAGCTTACTGTAATTAGATAAGACTCAGGTGTGGAGTGGAGCAGGCCTGATATTAATAGAAACAAACAGCTGACATACGGAACTCAAAAAGTTCAAGTTTATTAGCATTGTCGGGCTCGAAGATTAATTAAGGAGTGTCTGTGCATCCCGTACAAGCTATATAGAATGCTCGAGTGGAATTGGAATGCCTCCCGATATATGATCCGATCCAGTAAGACTTGTAGTGACGTTTATGTTGTCACCAAATCCATTACTAAAACATAGCGGCAACTTATTGACATTTATTGTCTCTCCAACAAGCAAGCAATTATTGGTGTAATTAATTATTACCTTAAGCACGTTAACATTTATTTTGTTTCGCCCTCTTTCTTGAAAGTAATTTAATTTATGTACGAGCACGATTTGCCCGTTAAATTAACAAGTCGAATTACTACACCTACACCTTTCGGCTTGTTCATTTAAGTGTACTCTAAAATATTAGCTTTACAAATACAATTAATATAAATATAAAGATAAC